CAGTTGCTTTAAAGAGTTTTAGATGGGTAGTTGATTAGTGGCCCTGGGCATCTGGAAGTAACTGAACTGTACAGTCCTGCTATTTATCTGTGTATTCATATATCCTGCCATATTCTAATAATTCTGCTACGCAGGCAGTCATAGTCCTGAACTTGTGAATTCCTATTATAAGAGGCTGCATTTTTCTTTATATTTATTGTTTTATCATAGAAAATTAAGTACAAAGCAGTAAAACAAACAAACAAAATAAAAGAAAAATAAACTTACATTCAACCCTAACAACAACAACAAAGAAAAAAATAGTTTACAAACAAGGAGGAAAAAGTGGTCAATTCAATCTAACATTTAACATGTAGGATCCACCCTGGCTGGGTGCTGAAAGAAAAGAAAAAGCAATAAATTCTCCTTCCCTTTTACATAGATACATACATGCATTGTATTTATTATATTTAGCACGTAGAAAGTCCACAAACGGTTTCAAGTCTCTTATATAGCTGCTTAGCCCATTATCTCTAATCAAAGCAGTTAATTTTACCATCTCTGCTAATTCAGTCAATTTCAAAATCCACTCTTCAACAGTCAGCATCTCTTGCTCTTTCTAGTGTTTGGTAAGTAACAATCCTCGCAGCCATTACCACATAAAGGAATATGATAAAGAGTGTATGGTAAAATGGGCCAAAAAAAAAGTTGAGCATAATATAATGCTAGATAAATAGGAGAATGTGTGGACAAAGATGTCTAAAATTTACATTAAATTATAGTTTGAAAGATAAGAGGCTGCATTTTTAATAACAGAATGCAATCACATGAAAGAAAATTAGAAAAGAGCTGATGTTTGTAGAAGTTGAAATGAACTATTCCTCTGGAAAAAGTACATCTAATATTGTTCGATGCAGCATGATTCTTTAACTTACAAAATCATTTCCCATCAAAGATCCATTGATTCAGCAACTTCCATGAGACTTGTTTTTCTTATTTTAGGGATATATGTGATGCTACTTTCAAAAATAACATTCCTGGGATAATTTATAAGCACTAGCTTTTTCTGGAGAGAAGAATGGTAGTACGTTACCATCTTTTTTTTTTCTTTTCTGTTTTCTGTTTAGCCTATCAGGTTAAACCCCAAAACAGGAATTGCGTCAAGGAAAAGTAACTATTCAGTGATCTCATCCAATATAATTGCAATCCAATAGATTTAAATAGTATTTGAATATTTTAAAAGCCTGAATAGAGAATAATCACTTGACATTGAAAGCATGCAATATAGCACTGGTATAACTTTGTTCCTATGAGTGTACAATACAATTATTGACAGCAGATGAGAACTTTAATGTGAAGTTATTTTCCCATACATTGTCCAAAATGATTTTCAGACTTTCTTTTAATATACGAAGAGAATGAAAGAGCCTTGCTTAGCATTATTTCTGCTTCCTATCAATAACTTGAAAATTTCTTACCTTGAATGTTAGAATAAATTAACTTTCCCTAGCTTGGTATTGGAATAACAACCTCAATACTTGCAATCCCCCACTCCTGCCTCCAACTACGTTGATGTTGGTGGATGATAGTGATAACCAGTATTGAAATAAGATTATGAAAATAGCTGAGGAAAACCTATTATGTTCTATTATTTCCATTTAGAATACCATCTCCCAACCTTGATTCCTTTACAGTGTTTTGAACTTCAGTGCCCAATAGCTCGAGATAGAATGGCCAAAGATCAAGAATAAAGGGTTAGGGTTAGGCATGTGAGATAGGTATGCCTCAGATTCAGGTAAGAGCTTGGAACCTTATGATTATTTATTTGCTAAACAATCATTTCTTCCAAGAGGAACCGACTCCTTTAGTGTTGACAGATAACTTCCCCTCCTCCTGGGAACAGACGTTAGACCACAAGCTGGGCTGTCCCTGGCATTTTTAATATCCCTAGGCTTTGACCAAGCTAAGCAAGTAGTCATTAATAGAATGAAAGACATGGAATTCCTTTAAGAAATAAATAGGTTGCCTCTCCATAGTAGGAACAGAGGGGTGTGGGAACCATCAAGATATTTAGAGGACCTGATCTTCCCGAAACATAGAATAGCATTCATCAGAGCCAGATTTAACATCCTCCCCTCAGCACTTCCCCACGGCAGACATAATAAGATCCCATTAGCGGAACGAGTATGTATATGTGGTAAAGGAGAAGTTGAAGATATCACACATGTTTTATTATACAGAGATTTTAGGTCAAGGCATATTCTCCCTTTATTAGAGAGATTGCCAGGGAGGGCAGACAATTTTTATGAAGACTATCTCCTCCGGGACTCAAATTCGGCTATCACACGTGCAGTAGCAAATTTCTGTGCAGCTGCAATGACCACAAGGAAGAGTCAGTTACAGAATTAAAGATGTTTACTGCACCAACGTCTTGTAAATATCTCTAACAATTTTTAGAGAATCTATATTTACATACATACTTATCCGTTCCCCCGTCATGTAACCAAGGATAAGAGCCACATTGTTTGATACCATGCCCTTTATTATTGCGGATGTGTTACTTATTATTAGTAGTAATGTCTTCTAACACTCTTGTAAACTTATAATTCTGTCAATTGCTGGTCTCTGTGACCGTAAAAAAGTTTATTATTATTAAGAATAAAGGGTATTGTAGTCTAGGATAAATTAGAGCAAAGTACTGTATGCCACTTGGTAGACCTGAAGGCTTGCCAAGCATATTGAGGGCTACAATTCAGGAACAGAAATAAAGTTGGTCTGATTTGTGTAAATTTAAGAGGCAAAATGGATTCCTTAAGCTTCAGTTGGATTTAAAAATATCCAGTTTGGTTTGAAAGGGGAATGCATGAAGCTCCGGAGTTCATGTGGGCACTTCTGATGTAGATGTAAAACACTTCAGATGAAATCCAAACTTCTATTCTAGTTGTCACTGCATAATGCCATTAACATGAAGTAGATATTCCTGAAACCGATTCATATTTTTGATTTTGTGCAAAACTATGTTTTTCTGATGGTCTGAAATGACTAATTTAATGTCATCTGAATAAGAATGTTTAATTTTACTTGATTTTTGTTGTTACTGATTTTTTTTAAATGAAGGTTAAAGAGACCCAAAAGCAGGGGAAACATTCAAACATGAGTAAGGCTGGCATGAATTTGTTGGCATGAATATCTTCATGTGAATTTTGTCCTTTTTCCTTTTATGATTTGAAGTGAAATTAAATATTAAAATAAAAATAGCAATAAAGCATAGTAACATTATGAATAAATAGCAAAGATATAAACAAAAAACTGGTTCATTCATAAATGATTAGACAAAGTTTAAAAATGTGAACACCATATATTTGTAAATATATAAATTATAGTATATGATCTCAGTTATAGCTAGAATGATCTACGTAAGAAAGTATTTCCATTGTTAGGTTGCAGAAAAGACTCAGCTCTTTGTATGAAAAGATCAAACTATGGTTTTATTCCTTATTAATAGTATTTTTAATGTCCATACCACCATATTCTAAATGGTATACAGAAATAGAAAAAGTTCTATTTTTTAAAAAGAAAACAACTAAAAGTAATAAAGGTGCCCACAGTCAAAATATAATATTGCAACATATGGAAGATAAATCTCAAACATATATAAAACAAAGACCAGAAGCTGCCCAGTCATAGTCAATCTTTGAAAGCTGAGTTTTTCTTCAAAGCATTATGAAATGTCAGTAAAAAAGATGCCAACTGCACCTTAAAAGTGAGAGGAAGAGGTAACATTGTTCCCAAAAGTTAAGGCTACATTAGAGAAGGCCTGTCTTACAGTTAATAATCACCTCATCTCCTGTAAAAGCAGAACGCTGGGAAAGCTTTTTTAAAAAAAAGATGATCTAAGAGAGTCAATTTGGTGTAGTGGTTAAAAGCATTGGATTGAAAACTCGGAGATTATGTGAGTTCTAGTCCTGCCTTAGGCACATTAGCTAGCCTTTGGTTTGTTACTCTCTCTCAGTCCTAGGAATAAAGGCCTGACAACTTAGGTCTAAAAATGTTGCCCGAGAAAACTGCATGGACTTTTTCATACAGTGACTAGGAATCTGGTTGATTTGATGGGCCATAACAAAACAGCAGAGGACCTAACAAAATGTTCAGAATAATTCTGGAGAAGACAGTCCCTAATACACCTCCAAACCCCAATAGAAATGGACTTGAATGTAATAACCGTACTTTAAATTGGATTTGGAAGCCTATGAGTAGCTAGTGAAACAACTGAATCAGTGCTCTACTGTGCTATGAGCACCCTGGCTACTATACTTTGTACCAATTGTAGATTTCAGGGCATCTTCAAAGGTACCCCGTAGAGAGTATGTTGTAGTAGTCAATTTGCATAACGATAAGGGCACGAGTCACCATAAGCAGGACTCCAGACCAAGGTTCAGCTGAATTTGGGCCCTAATCTAAGCCAGGCAAAGGTTCTACCTGCTGTTCCAGCAAGAAACATCAATCCAAAAGGACCCTCAAGTAACTGTCCTGCTTCTGTTGAAGAAGCTCAGTGTTATATGAAGCTAGCATATAACACTGTCAAACTATTTACTAAGATTGTATTACTATTCTCATCCTTCCTATTACTTATCTCCTCCCACTTATGACTATAACCTTGATGCTTGTATCTTTACAATTTATATTGTTTTATTTAGTTTCCTAGTATGATTTGATTGCTTATTTAATATCCTATAACTATCACTAAATGATGTATCTTATGATTCGTGATGAATGTATTTTCAATATACGCTGAGAGCATATTTACCAAAGACAAATTCCTTATGTGTCCAATCACACTTTGCCAATAAAAATTCAGTTCTATTCTATTCTATTCTATTCTATTCTATTCTATTCTATTCTATTCTATTCATTAGAATTGATGGTTCTAGATAGCCCAGATGTTTATGGATGGGCATTTTCAATGTCTTCCTAGAGTTTAATCTAAGCTTCCCTGATATTATTTTTAATTCTTTTCCTAGAGTTTGGTTGCCTTGGATTCTATCACTGTAAGTGAAGAGCAAATAAGGCCATCCCTTGAAAAACGTTTGGAGGGAATTATCAGTGGGGCTGCTTTATTAGCAGATTCCTCCTGCACTCGTGATCTTCACCGTGAGCGTATCATCACTGAGTGTAATGCCATCCGCCAAGCTCTTCAAGACCTTCTTTCAGAGTACATGAATAACGTAAGTCAGTTGCTGTTCCATTGTTGTTGTTTTATAATCTGTGTATTTTCTACTTTGTCTCCAAAGTAAAGTTAACCCAATAGTTATTGGCATCCTTTATTTTGTACTGGTTGTCAAACAATTCTTGTCATTTTATATACATGGAAAGTTGGCAAATGATTTGAAAGGTCCTGTTATGCTATCTTTCTTTTATTTCAATTATGCAACTTTTAGAAATGGGAGAAGAAAATGTTTTGGATCTGGTATAATACAAAGTACAGTAAAATATGTAGGCACACAAAACCATGATAGGGATCTTTTTTTTTTCATTTTTACCTTTCATCCAAATTATTATTGGAATATGGATCCAAATACATTTCAAGGAAGGTGATGCAGAACAGGAAACGTTTCTATTCCCACCATCTAATGGATGAGTTATTAGTTAGATAGGAATTTGTGCTTAGAGAGCTTGTCTAAGAAGACAGTGGCAGAATTCATCCATTATCCATAGGTGCCCTACTTGTGGAGCTATAGGTTGGGGCTCTGTTTTGACAGTCCAAAGGACAGATGACCACTGGAGCAGGATTAGTCACTTTAATGCTATCCTTCCTGGTTACTTATTCTCTGTGTAGTCCTTCAGATCTGAAAATGCCCAAAGTCTCTTTAGATTGAAATAATTTCTATAATCCCTTGACAATCACTTTACGCCAATAAGCCAGCAGAACTGAACACAAATCATTTTTATTTTAGCCTTCCAGTTTTATTAAAAGATATAATGAAGGTCTCTGACATTATTTTTATTTTTTTCCCCTTCGAGTCAGTCTTGACTCCTGGCAAGTATATGGATATGTCCCTGCAGTGTTCTAGGCAACATTTTTCATTTAGAGTAAAAGAAGGTAAGAATAATGCAGCATTCTAATGCTTTGTGCAATACTCTAGTCTACACAATACAACCAGAATCCAAATTGATTTCCCACTTGAAAAGCATGAAATTCTGCAGGCTTCAAATGCCAACTTAGTAACAGCAGGTTTTGCTTTCAGGTTGTTATTTGCCAGAAGTTCTCTGTAAAAAAAAAAAAATATCTGGTCACCCTGAAAATGGCCTAAGAATTGATTAGAAGTTTATAGCACCTGTCTTCTTAGAAGTGACAATATAAGCAACACAGGGTCCAATGATTCACTGTTGTCAAATTGATAGGGGCAAGTTCTCCCTGCATATACAGTGGATTTTGAAACTTGTTCTCCAAAACACTAATGGTAGAACAATGTCAAGGCTCCGTGAAATTTATTTATTGCGAGTTGATTGAGATCCTGGGTTGGTATGAAACAGATTTTAACTACGTCCCTGATGTATTCTAGCTAGTAGTTTGGTATATTTGATTTGCAGTCCTATATTAAGGATCTTTTGTCTAAGAACTGTCATAACTTGAACTTGTGTCAGAATTTCCGATGCAAAACTAACATGCTGAACTTGGTCTCCCATTTGCTGTTTCTGGGTGGAGAGGAATTTGTCTAGCAAAATGTAAGCTAGAACCAGCCATGGTGCTGAATATTAATTTTTAGCCAGTCTTATTTAGCCAGGCCTTTTTCTCAACACTCAATAGCCATGTATACAACATAGGGCTATGTTAGGCATGTAGTTTGCTGCTTGGAAGAATTTATTTTGTAAGAAATTAATTTGTACATTTGGAAGCTGGGCCAACAGTTTGCCCTTAAAACATTGAAGTAAACTGAGATATATTCGGTACTTTTAGCATGCTGGTTAGGAATTCTGGGAATTAAAGAGGGTTTTTTGTAATTGATTTTCAGTAAGCAACCTTTGTAAAAGTGGGATATGACTCTTCTTGGTTTTACTGGTGACTGTAGTAGGATTCTCTCATCATAGGGCCTTTTTGTCAGTTTCCGGGTATAGTGCTCTACTTAACCCACTATGCTTGTGCATATTAATGAAATATATTTCTTGTTAAAAATCATATTCACTATGTACTCCCATGTGCTCCTCTTTGTATTCAGAGATGATGGGATTTATTAACACAAGTGAATTTCATAGGCACTGATTATTTACTTTAATAGTGTACAAATATTGTGTATTTTTTAAAATTTTACTCAAATGTTTACTTATGAGAAATGGTAGATGGAAAATTAAGTAAGAATTTACAATCTATTTGGTTTGTTTCTTCACATAAGCAAATTCTTATCAAAACAGAGATTTGGTAGGTTAAAGTATGACATTGTGGGTTTATTGTATCTGATGTAGTTATAGAAATTCCTGTAATGTTGTTTTCAGATACTACAAAATTCATCTCTCATATTCCCATGCTACTTAATGCAACCTAGTGTAATGCCATTTACTTTATTTAAAGTATTAAATGTGTTATTCATTTATTCAATAAATGATATTTATTTATTTATAGCAATGAGCAATGAGCTCATCACAGAGTAAAAGCTACACAAATCAAGTTTTATGCAACTCAGGTGAAAAATTGCATTGTACTTTGGATTATACTGATGCACACCCAAAATTCAAGTGCATTAGCCCTAAAATGTTCTTCTTACTTAGTATAATGGTTCCATGGTTATGGATTGTCTGTCAGCATAGAAGTGATCTGCTTTAAGTTATAACTAATGTACATTTCATTGGAAAAAGCAACGATGCTAGAGATGGTTAGTAGGCAAAGAAGACGTGAAGAACACCCTGGGTTGATAACATCAAATCTGATGCAAAGTTGAACATACAACAGTTGAAAGAAGTGTGCTTGACAGGGAAGCACGAAGAGCACTTGCCTATAAAGTTGTCAAGAGCTGGACATGACTAAATGGTTAACAACAACGAATGTATATTTAGATGCTATTTGTATAAAAAGTGACAGAATCATAAATGGACATAGCTGGGTAAATACTAAGAAGACATCATGCAGTTATTTTAGGGTTATTTCTCTGCAACATTTTACGGTTGATCTAATTTCCATTTTCATGTGGGCTCACATAACACATTTCCTAACAAAGGGCAATATAGCAGTGGGCCTTTTCTGCTGTAGTCTCTACTCTAAGGAATCTTCTCTCCCTTGATTTGAGGTTGGCTTCATCACTATTGAGCTTCCGGAGGTCTCCTTAGACCTGGTTATACTGGCATACCTGTGGACTCTGGGTGATGGGTGAACTAGTAAGGTGGCACTATTATTTTTAATAAACCTTTGTCTATTATCTTTGTTTTAGTTTGGTTTTTATACTTTTTAATCCATTTATTGTTTTAGTTGTGTTTTATGCCACCCAGACACGTAATTGTGAGATGGGCAGCTGTATACATTGAATAAATAAATAGTGTTGAAAATATTCAATCTATTTTTGTATTTTTAGAAATAATATTAGACATCCTCATACAAAATGATAACAATTACATTCATTAGATGTCACTAGGACAGAGACTTAACTTTGCATGATTTAATACCTTAACCATGTTCCATTTGTTTGTTTCTGTTATCTATTTTTATTTAAAGCAAGAAAATGTGTTCCTTTTGCCCCTCTTAGCACTCCCTATACAACAAGCAAATTAAAAAAAAGCTATATATCTATATATTCAAAAATGGCTGTCTCTGTGTGTTTGTGCATGTTCCAGCAAAACTCTGGAACACTTCCAGCAATTTCAACCAAACTTGGTACACAGATAATTTACTCTCTAGAAACAAATACTGTGGTGGTAAGATACCCCTAACACTCCTCGAGTTGTGTGTTCTGTTAACATACAGCCTATTGCGCCTTAAAATGGTTTCTACTGTACAGCGCAGTGGAGTTGCCATGGTAACTGCTTCACGGTACTCCACAAGGGGGCTCCCTCTGGTAAGGGGGAAAACCCAATATTAGAAATTATGTTTGGTCTGGACATTTTCCCCCTATAAATAAATACCCAGACAACGCTGGGTTATCAGCTAGTTATAAATAAATATGGAATGACATCTCCTGTAATATCCAAATGCATCATCGTTCCTCCTGAGAGGCTTTCTAGAAATATGGGAATTTGATCTCTAAATAGTGAAAATCTTGTGAATCCATTTCTGGGGTTATATAGAAGCTGAAGAAATTGCCCGTTAGAAATTCCTAAGATACAATTCTGAACATTACAAAGGAGAACATTTAGCTACATAATCACAAGATATACCTTAATGATTCATTTAGGAATATTTCTTCTGTTCCCCTCGGTTAACTAGAGCTTGCTTAGCAGAATTTGTTCCAACAAAATAGTTTGAACTAGAGCTGAGTTACTGCACTGCAGATAATATCATCGCTGAAGTTAAATTCTAAATAAAATGCCTTGCAATGATAAACCCATTTCATTTTTTAATTTGATTTATATCCTTCCTTCTATCCTCTTGAGCAACAAAAGTGCCTATCAGCAGCTAAAATATAACAACAAAAACTAAAAATAATGTTAATAACAATTAAAATGGAAGGTCTGATGAAAGATACATTTTTATATTGTTGTAAAGGCAGAGAGAGCAGTGATTAAACATGATTTCTTTGGGACCGGATGTTATAATTTGGGAGTGGTGCCAATGAAATATCTCCTGCAGATCTTAAAGGCCAGATGGATTTGTAGCAACAGAGGGACTCCCCGAGATAATCAGCCTTTAATTTACCAGTATAAAAACTAAAAATTTAAATAGAGCCTGGAAAATATTGGGCAACAAAGGTTTGGCGGCTTTGTTTTGTAACAGCTTCTGGAAACCGTAGTAGGTCCCTTAAAGCATGTTGCATTAGTCAGTTTCAGATTTAATCAAGATGTGGTAACTCTCTTCTAAATCTGACCAGTTCAGGAACAATTGCAGCTGGCACATTTAAAGTAATTGTGTGATTGTACTCTGTCATAACTGCAACTTCCATTCTGACAGCTGGAAATCAAGCTGCCCTCTCAAATTGCACAATAGCCATCCCGTCCACTGCAGGCTGCAACCTGATCATCAAGTCCAGTTTTCGCTTCCTGAAAAAGCACTCCATCTTGTTAAGATTTTGTTTCAGCTTCACCC